CTTGTAAACTTGACCGTATGTTCCATTGCCAACGACTTCTATTAGATCGAAAATTCCAGCTGGGTCCTGAAAGATAAAGGAAAATACATTAGACGACACAAAAATAAAACCAACAAGAACAGAACATAAACAATTCAGCAATTTAAAGTCAAACCGATGAACCAACAAAAATCCATCGCTCTACACTACATGTATCCTGCCATTAATAAGTAACGGCATTTTAAGCGTCAGTGTGTGCACCCAATTTCATGTACACGTGATATTGCGTACACGCCCACTGCTTCTCGAATAATAGCAAGGGCGTGGGCGTGGGGGCGTAGCGGTGGGCGTGTGCGAGCCTGGCAAGTGACAGATGAAGGTCAGAAGGCCAGTGTGAAATAAGAGGGAACGAACGGGAGGAGGAGGAGGAGGAGGAGGAGGAGGAGGAGGAGGAGGAGGAGGAGGAGGAGGAGGAGGAGGAGGAGGAAGTGAAGAAGGAAAGGGTTGTGACTGAAGAGAGAAAGGAATGACACAACAGGAAAGTTAAAAGGGGTGGAAGAGAGCGACTGTGAGAGGGAGAGAGCACGAAAGACAGATGACACGCGATAACGAGAGGGAAGGGAGAGAACATGAGGAAAGGAGAAGAAAGGGGGAGAACAGGAGAGAAAGAGAGAGGAACCAGAGAGAGCACGAGAGAAGGCGTTAAGGGAGAAGGCGCACGAGGGAGAGAGGGGAGGAGGAAGTGGCTCCCTCGCACCTTGCCACGTGAACCTCTCTCAACGCTGCTACAATATTCAGACGGGAATGAGTGGGAGGCAGCCCCCCCACCCCCCTCCTCCAGTCTCCGATCTCTCTTGCTCTTTCACACAAAGGCGCACACGCAGACACAGGCACAATGCCATTTGTTTTCTCCGCAATGTTATATTTCCACTTTTATTACCTTTATACATAACTGGTCGTCGAAGACAAAGAATATTCAAACCAAAGCAGCAGTTAAACAATTTTCTTAGAAACGATTCCTTCCAACCAACGGCCACAGAAGGATGTCAAACACTGACATAAGTGAGTAAAAGAGAGAAGTGCGGAAAGACGGACGGATGAGAAAGAGAGGGGAAGATAGGAGTGGAAAAAGGAAGGAAGAGAGAAGAAGGGATGAGGAGGAGAGGGAAAGTGTAAAGAAAAATATATGTATAGAGAGAGATAGAAAGAGAGACTAGTAGACTTAACTTTGAGATGTTTGTTCTTTACTTTACTATACACTCTGTACCAAACGTACATATACAAAGCACAAACTAACATACCTGAAGAAATAGGGTATACATAAAAAACAATAACACAAAAGGAGACAAGTTCTGAAACCCAAGGTACATACAAACACAAAAACCTTCGCGCACACAAAAACAACCCCCACCCCCCTTCACCCTTACAAAGACATTTAACCGCTAACGAGAATCATAACCACAAACAAACACAAACTCCTCCCCCCCTCCCCTCCATCCTCTCCTCCTCTACTCCTCAAACATACAAGACGGGTTGACAGGCCGCGCGCCACTGCCCGAGAGGAGAGAAGTAGGCAAAAAGGAGAATGCAAGGGTGACGGAGAAGGAGAGGGAGAAGGAGAGGGAGAGGGAGAGAGGGAGAGAGGGAGAGGGGGGGAGGGAGAGACAGGAAGGGAGGGGAAGAGAGACAAGAAAGGAGAGAGGTAGGGAGGGGGAGGGTAGTGGAGAGCCAGAGAGACACAGAGGCAGAGAGGGAGAGAGGAAAGTAGGGGAGGGAAGTGGAGAGCCAGAGAGGCATAGAGGCAGGGAGGGAAAGCGGAAGGGGGGTAGGGAGGGAAGTGGAGAGCCAAGGAGGCATAGAGGCTGAGAGGGAGGGACAGACGATGAGGACGCAAGGTTGGGAGGCAGGCCGGAGGACGCGAAATGAGTCAGCAAGATGAGGCTGAGAAGACTTGAAGGGGGGGGGGGGTAGACTTGGGGGAGGGGGGAAGGAGAGGAGGGAAAGGGTGAGCGAGGCGTAAAAATGAACAGGTGGGGAGAGAGGGAAAGAGACAACGGATTGACGATAAAGAAAGTAAGAAGAGGGAGAGGGAGAGGGAGAGGAGGAGAGAGGAGAGAGAAAGAAGAGAGAGATAGGAGAGAGAGAGCGGAGAGAGAGAGCGGAGAGGGGTGAAAGAGGAGAGGGAGAAAGAGAGGAGAGGGGAGAGAGAGAGGAGAGGTAAGAGAGAGAGGAGAGGGGAGAGAGAGAGAGAGAGAGAGAGAGAGAGAGAGAGAGAGAGAGAGAGAGAGAGAGAGAGAGGAGAGAGGGAGAGAGAGAGAGAGAGGAGAGAGAGAGAGAAGAGAGAGAGAGAGGAGAGAGAGAGAGAGAGAGAGAGAGAGAGAGAGAGAGGGAGAGAGAGAGAGAGAGAGAGAGAGAGAGAGAGAGAGAGAGAGAGAGAGAGAGAGAGAGAGAGAGAGAGAGAGAGAGAGAGAGAGAGAGGGAGAGAGAGAGAGAGAGAGAGAGAGAAAGAGAAAGAAAAAAAGATAGAGAGGAGACGAGAGGAGACGAGAGAGCGAATGAGTAAGAGGCAGAAATATACATACATACATGCATACATACATAGAGATAGACAGAGAGAGGGAGGGGTGGGGGAGCGGGCAGGGTTATGAGTCTGTGAAGAGGGGAGTAAGGAGGAAGCAAGATGGAGGGAAGGAAAGGAAGGGGGTGGGGGAGGCACTGGTGGTCTTGTGGTTCCTCATGATGATGGGGTGTTAGCGTCATCGTAACCTTGACAACCATTATCGTCCGTGTGGGCGGGCGGGCGGGCGTGGTGTGACTCACCACTGTTGCTGTAGATCTCATCACAACACCACAACCACGGCTCTATATTCCCCCCTCCCCCCCCATCTCTCTGTCTCTGTCTCTCTCTCTCTCTCTCTCTCTCTCTCTCTCTCTCTCTCTCTCTCTCTCTCTCTCTCTCTCTCTCTCTCTCTCTCTCTCTCTCCCTCCGCCTGCAGTTCTCTTTCAATCTTTTTCTCTTACCCTCCATCTACCCATTCACTTACCCCAACATTAGCACACCCTCACTCACACATTGACACTGACAGGGATACATACACACGTACATACATACATACATGCATACACACACACCACGCAAGCAAGCAAGCAAGCAAGCAAGCAAGCAAGCAAGCAAGCAAGCAAACACACACACACACACACACACACACACACACACACACACACACACACACACACACACACACACACACACACACACACAAACACACACACACACACACAGTTAGTGCGGGCCACCCCGAATTTAAAAGCGATTAAGAAAGGTTACAGTGTCAACACTTTCCTCCCTGTCAACAAAGCCACACCTTCCAGTTCAGCTTCAGTGAACTGATACTCTGTAGCGCTCTTATCCTTAAGAGGAAACTGAGGCACAGGCGTAGAGATGGACACACAGACAGAAAAATAGATGCATGGATCTACTAAGACAGAGAGGGGGTAGGCTGATAAGGAAAGTAGGAGTAGGAGTAGGGGTAGGGGTGAGAGAGAGAGAGAGAGAGAGAGAGAGAGAGAGAGAGAGAGAGAGAGAGAGAGAGAGAGAGAGAGAGAGAGAGAGAGAGAGAAGAGAGAGATAGAGAGAGAGAGAGAAGTAATACCATTTCATCACCATCATCACGTCCAGACCGGAATCGCTCATGAAGTCATCACCCAAAACGGAGCCTTGTTAACACCGCAGTTAGGGTCTCTTATCACCACCTCCCGACTAAGCCACTGCCACACACAGGGTCAGTACCATCTGTGTGGCACCCCCGGGCCCAAAGGGATAATCAAGGACACATAGCAAAAAAAAGCGACGCAACAGAAAGGAAATATAAGCTTGCTCAAAATTACAAAAAAAGGAAGGGAAAATATACCCGTCAGCACGTCATTAGTGACCGGGCTATCTATCACAACAAATCGCGGAGTAATTGCAAGCTAGTCGGCGTGGCTTGGGGAGGCTAAGCGCTTCTAAGAAAACGGGCAGGGGCGATGTCCTCTTGAGGCGGTGAAATGAACAGCCGCCGTCGCCCAAGAAAACGTTTATGATCACGTACGCTCCCTCCTCCCTCTCAGCGTGTTGCATCCATGTCCTTTCTCAGACAACATCCCTTCTCAATACGTTTGCAACACGCATGCGACCCAGCTCCACAATGCGTTCATTAGGAAGCGAAAACAGTTATTTATGTAACGGCGCTGAGGGTACGGGAACAGCGGGAGAGGGTTGGGCAGGGCAGGGCAGGGCAGGGAAGAGAAAGAGAGAGAGAGCGAGCGAGCGAGAGACTCGAGTAAGCGAGTGACGTCATAATGTTGTGACGCGAGGCGGGTACTCATGGCAAGGGTGTTGCCATACAATCTCGCCTTTTGAGAACACGGCCATCACAACCACTCACAACTTAATCTTCAGAAAAAAACAATAACTACGACGCCCATACTAACAATGACCATTACCTCATTACGCACAGCGGCATTTACGTGGTGAAATCCTAGGCTATGATTAAGCGTTTCCTCCGCAGTCTCGTAGAAGCATTACTCACAACCATCAACAAAGACAGCGTTAGGCGGACAGAACAAAGAGTAACGCTCACCAATTAACATCTAATTCGCAATGAGCTAAAACATGGGAGAGAGGGAAGGAGCAGCACGGGGATGACAGCAGTGCAATTGAGAAGGGAAGAGGTGGAAGAAATGGGGAGTTGACTGGGGACTGGGAGTGGGAAGGGGGGGGAGGAGGAGGAGGAGGAGGAGGAGGAGGAGGAGGAGGAGGAGGAGGAGGAGGAGGAGGAGGAGGAGGGAGGAGGAAGAGGAGAGGAGAGGAAAGGGGAGAAGGGGGGAAAGGAGGAGGGGGAAGGGAAAGAGAGCTAGGAGGAAGAGAGAGACGAGGACGGAGGGAGGGAGGGAGGGAGGGAGAGAGAGAGAGAGAGAGAGAGAGAGAGAGAGAGAGAGAGAGAGAGAGAGAGAGAGAGAGAGAGAGAGAGAGAGAGAGAGAAGAGGAGGAGGAGGAGGAGGAAGAGGAGGAGGAGGAGGAGGAGGAGGAAGAGGAGGAGGAGGAA